AGATCTCTTATTATTCCTCTGCGTAATAAAATCCTTGGCTACTAGTGGAAAATCGGTCTTTTACGTTATCGTTTTCTCTTCAATCATAAAAATACCCAACGTAAAAAATAGGCGGTGACATTTTTGAAATCAATCTAAACTTTTTTACGTCGGACCAAAGGGGGTCAGATGTAAAAATTGTTGCTTGTTTTTGAATTTTAATAGTGCTCTAAATTTTATGAAATAGCTAAAACAAATTAATTTTTATGAATATAACAACCCAAATGCACCAGAATGCGAGAGATTTTGTACTAGTGTGAGATTGTACAGTTAAGGATGTCTTAGACAAATTAATTTGTACTACCAATACCAATAAGATGCTTATAATTTTCAATAACCCACTACTAGAAAAATTAAAATTAGAGAGGGAAAAAATCCTTCTTTTATCATCGTTTGTAAATTTTAAATTTCTCCTTGAATGAATAACATATGTTGTAATTGCCTCTTTAAATTGTTCTCTACTCAGAAAATACCACCCCACTTCCCACTTATAATCTTCCATATTGCTAGGCATCTTAAAACTTGGAAACTTATTTGAACCAACATTATCTTCTTTATCACTAGGGTTATCCAGCCCACTTAGTAATTATTTCGATTCATATTCTTCATCAGAAATACCCTTACCCATGGAATGCATTTTTTTATCTACTCCAGACTTATCACCTTTGAACAAGTCATCATCTAAATCATCATTATCAAAAGCATCAATAGGCTTAACTGTAGGGACTATAGTAGGCTCAACAGTCTTCCTAGGCCTACCTCTCTTCTTACTACTATAGCTAGGTTGTTGTTCAAGTACTTGTTCAGGCACAACTATTTCAAAATGATTTAATATATCTATCTCACCACTATTGGTAACCTAACATACTTCCAATGGTCCTTCAAAACTATCAACTAAAGCATTATGTCTAGGTTTAACAAATACCTCAAATAAATCAATATCTAAAATTTCTTCTTCATCGGTATCACCCAAATGTACTGAAGGATAACTGCAGTAACTATCCTCACTTTGTTTGTCATCACAAACATCATCACCCTTTCTAGGCCCATTTTCATTACCCACAATAGCCTCAAGCACACTCTTATCAGCAACAATATCCCTTGGCCCACTCTCAAGCCTAGCCCCACACTCATCAGCAACACCACCCTTAGCCACACTCTCATAAGCAATAATAGACCTTGGTCCACTCTCACCCCTAACCCCACACTCATCATCAACCCCACCCTCAAGCACATTCTCATCAACAAAAATAGCCCCAGGCCCACTCGCAGCCCTAGCCCGACACTCATCAACAAGACCATCCTCTAGCACACTCACATCATTAGCAACACACCCAACCCTATAATCAGCACCAACATCAACCTCTATCCCAATGTCATCATCAACAAAAGGCCCAAGCCCACTGTCATCAATAACTGCATGCCCCTTCCCACTCTCATTTGTCATAAGCCCATCATTTTCAAGCCCACTATCAATAGGCACTAGCCCATCATTTGTTACAATAGTAGGTGATGGTAAAGTTTGTATAATTTCATATTCAAATGTTGGATGTTTAACATATAATCTAACATTTATTAACTCTCTTGACATATAATCTAACATAAAAAATCTAAAATATGATCTGTATTTCAAAATTAATTCTAACAAAATAAATAATTTTAAAACAAATGAACCTCTTATACGTATAGATAGATAATTCTACTGATGGAAGAGCATGAAAGTGAGTACAATGAGGGAAAGAATCACTTAAGTATGCACGGATTTGAGTAGTATTGGAGCCTAAACAAGGTTACACAAAATTGGCGCCTAAAGTTTGAATTCAAATTTGAAATTTGAATTCAAACTTAGGTGCACATGTGCAAGTCCGTGGGTTTAGGTTTCTAATGCATTTAGATTTAATTTAGATGGAATTTAGGGTTGTATTTGAGTAAGCACATGTTCAGCCACTAGTGGTGAGGAACATGTGACTCAAATGCAACTTAAATGACTTCCAAATTAACCCTAATTTAACATAATCCGTCCACTTAAGTATTCTTTGTATTTTCCTATTCTAATTGCCTAAATACAATGGCCAAACAAATACAATGGAAAGGAAAAATTACAAGAATGAAAATGAGCCCAATATTGGGTACCAAAAGCCCAAAGGCCCACAAAGCCCAAAAATAGGCCCAATAAGCCTATGGCCAAAAAATGCTAATCTATATGGTCCAAAATACAAGACCAAAATATGTGAAACCTATACTAGTAGAATATGTACAAAATATAAGAAAAAGGATTTATCAAGATAGGCCCATGAGAAGCTCAAATTGGGCCTTCCAGGCCCATCGGGCCCATTGGGCCTTGACTGGCCCAAACCTCCATGCCTAGCCCACTCCTCTTGGATCTTTTAGGTTATCACCTCTTGCCTTCCTAAGGATGATTCCATCATTTATCCTATCACTGATATAACTTATAGCCTTCTCTTTCTTATTCCCTAATTTTTGTGTGTACTAGGGCTCCAAAAATCCATACAAGTTATCATAGCCATGCTCTTCAATTTTTTGATTTAGATAACTAAAATTTATATTTGATGCCAATTACTTGAACAGCCCGGTAAAAAGGAATTACTTGAAGGATATATTTTCATATTTAATTCAATTAGACTCTAGCACAACCCCTCTGTTCATTTTTCCTTACGAAACGTTCAAATAGATGGGACTATAGTGTACTTTTTATTTTATGATGCCACTGCAAAAACCTGACCCCTAGGCAACTTACTAATAAAATGATAATTGGAACAAAATCCAAATATTAGAGTGACGCGGGAGAGGTAGACATTTTCGATGACGTGGATGTGTGGGAAACCATTTTACATTGGACATGGTGGATCCGACGTAAATTTACGTCTCCCGCATTAACGTTGGACGTTTTTCCAACGTAAAAACCCCTAAATAACCGACGTAAAATACCTCTTTTGCACTAGTGCCTTTAACAATTGCAAAACATATTGACAGCATTTGGTCATTTGGATCTTTTTCAATTGCTGCCAATATTTGGCCACCATAATAACCCTTCAGAAAACATCCGTCTAACCTTATTATGGGTCTGCACTTCAAGAAACTTTCTTTGCAACCTTGAAAATAGATATAAATTCTTTGAAAGGTTGGAAGTACTCTACTAGGCCCTTCAACGTTATTCTCATGTTCTTCATTTCCCTCAACCTTCACCTTCACTGCAGAACCTAGATTAGATTTGATTAGCTCATGACTATAGTCATAGATCCTCTTGAATTGTTCTACAAAAGACCCTTCAACATAACTTTTTGCATATTTCCTAACCCTACATGCCATGGCCTTAGAGATGGTAGCATTCCACTTCCTCTGCACTCTTTCTCTAATATCATTCAATTTTAATTTTGGATTCTCTTTAATTGAAGTTTTAAGTTTCCCACTTAACCACTTAGAACTCAACAAAGTCACTTTGTGGTCCCTACTGCATGTATGTCTATAAACAATCTTCCTTAATTTCCAACTTTCTTCATAAGGTACTTTGACACAATATGCTACCCATGGACATCCTTCTTTGCATATGACCCTTATCCTTCTTTTATCATCGTTTGTAAATTTTAAATTTCTCCTTGAATGAATAACATATGTTGTAATTGCCTCTTTAAATTGTTCTCTACTCAGAAAATACCACCCCACTTCCCACTTATAATCTTCCATATTGCTAGGCATCTTAAAACTTGGATTCCCTCACTAATTGATGTAAGTTCTACGATTTTTTTCGCGTGGGTTTTAAATTTCTTTTTTGGGCTGTGCCCTTTCTTTTAAAAAAAATGATTTCGATTGCACCGCAAAGTCCACCACCTTGTGGATTTCATCAGCAGGGAATCTTAATAAGATATTCCCACAAGATTTAGATATTAACTAATAATTTAGTGATAAAATATTTGAAATAATGATAACCAAATTTTAGAGGACAGATCCAGAATATATTCCTACATATTATATTTTATTTCTAACAAAAAATAACTGTTATTTTTAATTTTTATTCATTTGCTTTAACTTTCTAAAATAATCTCTTCATACATCATGAGTATGTATGCCTTTTTTTATATTTTATTTTAAAATTACTCATAAATAATTTTTTTTATTTATTTTATTCTAAGACTATTCATGAACAATTGTTGACTAAAATATTTTTTTTTTCATTCGAATACAGTGCAGAATAAAGTTTTTAGGAATACATAATAGAAAATTATAATAAACTAATTTTTAAATTTATGTACATTATCACATTAAATAAACTGTATGCATTACTAAGATAGAGTTTTTTACTCAATGAGACAAGGAAGTTAACACTCAGTTGTACATTTTGGAAGATTTGATTTTCCTCCATGCTAACATTCCCCACAGCTACTCCCATGCAGAGCACCTTCTTAAGCTGGAATAGCCTTACTCTCATTAACCTCTGACTCGAGAGTTTCTTGGTGAGTCACAAGTGTTGGGAACTTCCCTGCAAAGTGGTGCAAAACATCAAAATAAGGTTCAGCTAAAGCAATATTGAAATCAGAAACCCAAAATATAACAATTCTAAAAAGCAGGGAATCAAATTAAAAGCAAGGGATAGTAGAGCCAATTCAAAAGGATAACCAAAGCCACTCAAAAAAATTATGTAGTTAGTGTTTAAAAACATCCAAGTAAATATAATATAGCGCAATGTGACCAGAAATTAACAAGAACACAACAATGTATTATGTGAACTGATCAGAACAAGCAAATCACCAAGTACACTCTAGAACATCCAAGAGGATCAAAATCGTAAACCCAAAACAATAAAACGTGCCTGCCTTGTTGAGACCAGGTCCCAAGAGACGAGGAATTTGCTTGATCCTGCCACCATCTTGTTAAATAACTGCTAGCAGTGCTATAACATTCTAAATTCTTGCATAAATAATCATTTGAAATGACAATAGTACTTGAAAGCAAACCAGAGAATAACTTGGAGTTCAAATTAGAGTTAATAGGTGAGCTTCCAACACAACAAAAGTACCAATCCAATTGCTAGATGTTAAAAAAATTGAACTTGACATCATCATTGAACATATCAAGACACCAAAAAAGTTACGAACATGCACATACAATTAAGCCTTACAGTAAAATAGTCATTAAAACTATCAACACACCAAAAAAATTAACATGCCTTGAACATGCCTGCATCAATTGATTATCAAATTTACATATGCCAATATATCTTATTTAAAAAGACCCGAATGTGAGTTGATGACAATAATCCCCTCAATGATTTTCAAAAATGACACTCCACCACAACCAAGCTACTCTAAAATTATACTTCCACAGAATCTAAGAAAACAATCAGGCAACTAAAGATTTAACTATTGTTTAATCAAGTTATTGTACCATATATTTTTTATTTTATAAAATGTGATATTTTGAAAATGAAAACAAAGAAAACTCACATCTCTACAAGTAAAAGGTTGTCTAACACCGGTAACCATTAGTACAATCAGAACACGAAGGCCAAGACAGTAGTGCCTATTAGTTGCCATATTTTCCTTTCTCTAATATCAAAGCAACTGAAAGCTAATACCTTGAATACTAGCATATTATTCACTTGTTTTCATGTATGTTTTTGAAACTGACCTGGTACAGAGTGCGAATGTGCAATGTGCCTATCTTTTCATTTTATTATAAAATATCTAATTGCACGTCTTGGGGCTCCTATTTCTAATCTTCCATTTCTTAAGCTCTGCAGAAATATCTAATTTTATTGCTACTTATAGTCCTACTAGTTTATCAACCATACGCTGAAGTCAAGAAGATTTGCAATTGTAACATTGCTCTACCTGGCAATACTTTTAGGTACCGCAGTAGAAAGTGGATACGGTGCTGGAGTTAGTGATTGATGGTGGAAAATGTGGGTGGAGGAATGTCATGTTTGGAAAATGAATTTGACTATCCGCAGCTGATGGTATTATTGTTGAAGGGAATCCTGATGATGCTGCAGTAGAGAACGGTGGAGTAAGAGTTGCCCCGCCGTAATGACCTTGGACTTGCCATGCCCAATTTGGCATGGGACCAGCTTCCATCCTCTTCTCTATTGCTGTTTCCTGTGAATATAAAACCATAATTAGTATGTAACGCAGAACAAAGTAAGGAAAAATTAATTATGGTTGCCAGAATATGTGAAAATCACCTCACAGATGGGAAAGAAATTGCTACCACTCCAGACGGAAGAATGACGCTCGGATGCCATGGAGAAGCCAGGAGGTGGCTGAACAGGCAGTGATCTTGATCCAGAGTGCTGAAGCTATTAAGCAAAGTGAAAATATACAATGAAAGCTGAGAATACAAACTACAAATTCAGAAACACGTGAAATGTTATGAAATGTAATTGTTGAGACATATAATCTGAGGTGTGTTGTGTTACAATGAATTCTCCTGTTTAGTGTTAAAATTGAATTAAATAATTGTTACCTTTAATCTCTATGGGTTTGATAATTGACTTTGTTCATTTTATTACTTGCAATAATTGGTGTGTTTGCGAAATGTTTAACACTTATCATTAAATTTTCATGGGAGAGTTGGAGATATTACTCTATATCATAGATCATGCACCATTATTAATAGAATTAATAAATGACAATTAGAGAGTTGAATAGGTGAAAAGATATTTATTTATCAAATTCTTTTCTAATTATCCAATAACATGAAACACATTTTCACAATATCTAATAGGGATAAAACATGAGAAATAAAATTGCTTTATAAAAAAATATAAAGTGCCATATAAAAAGAATCATCATTTTCTTTTAAATTGTATCTTATAATAAGGACCAAATGGAGTACTATATATATATATTAATCATGTTATAAATTTAAAACAACAAAAAAATTATTTCCTATATAAGATATGTTGTTTACATCTATTAATTTTGCTAATCCTATCTAAAAAATATTTTCTATGTTCCACAATAAGTGTTGTAAGTTATTTTATATTGACAAAGAAAAATTAATAAATAGATGAAAGAGAATAGTCTCTATTATCTATTATAAGCAAAAACATAATTAAACACATTTTTTTATATTAAATATAAGAAAATTTTAACTATTAATGATAGTCCTTAAAATATTTCTTTATTAATGTATGATTTTTTAGTTTACACTACCTTTTTTGCCATTTATAATCTAGATAATTTAGGAAAAATATTATGAGATTAGTAAACTTTAATTATTACAAATTAAAAATTTCTTTAATATGTGAAATCAATTTTTCTTCTTCTTATAATATAGAATAGATGGAGTAATAATTATACAAAATTAACCTAATAGTTAATCTTCTTTGTTTGTTATAATTGATACGACACAATATATACATTTAAAGGTTATTATTATAATTATAAATGAAAAAAAGTAATTAATATTATATTGTAAACTAATATGATACTTATTTTTTTAATATAAAATTTATTTTGGAATGAAGGAAGTAACTTATTTTTGCAAAATTACCCTTTCTTAAAATTTGGAATAAAAAATATTGAAAATATAATTTCAATTAAATAAATAAACAATTTAATTTTATTGATCACAAAATTTAATAGAATAAGATTAGTTAAGCTATTAAAAGTACTTGCAAACGATTTCTTGGTACCTTTTACCTAATTAATACTATTTTTTCTTTTGCTGATAAAAAAATTTAATAATAAGATTATTCAGTTATATATTTGAGAGTAATAAATATGAACTTCTCCGTCTTTTGTGCATAAGTTTCATTCGTTTTATAATAAAATTACCAGTACCATTAGTAGCCTCGTTGTGTCAAAGAACCATGTCACGTCACAATATCTTACTAGGTTCCCTAGAAAAGTATAATTTTTCATAATCTTTTATATATCGATTCCCAATAAAAGTAAAGTAGTCTATGTACAATGTAGGAATCTAATAACGGATCTTAATTAAAAAGCTCAAATATCGTTAAATTTGATCAAACGAATTTTAAATAATGTAACCCTGCTTTCACTTTAATTAGGAAATGAAATAGAGTCGATCCGAAGGATTTGCGACTATTCAATGATAGATCATTATTTTGTTGAAACACTGAAATACACAAAATCAATTTATTATTTTCTTGATATTATTGCTTTAAGAGTGCATTTTAGCATGAATAAAATAAGTAATACTTTTTCTTGCATATCGAGTTATTTCGTATATCAATATTGGATTTCTTTTTTAATTTTCACTGGACTCCGAGAATTATGTCATAATTTTCATAAAATTAATGACTAGCTAACAAAATGTGTTCATTTAGTGTAATCTCAAAGTTAAATAACTATAATAGGCAATTTTCAATAATTTCTTAAAGAGAATCAATATAATATGAGCTATAAATAACAACTTACGGCGGATAATAACACTAAATAATAAATATTCATGATGAAATATAAAAGACAAGAAATACTGACACATTAAAAGTTTAGAAAACCCTAAGCGTGTGGTTCAGCGGTAGGGTTGATCCACGCTTATGCAAGGTCAGGGGTTCGAATCCTGCCTTGTGTATGCAGCCGCGTTAAATCTTGGGGTCAGCTATCCCACCCTTTGAGGTGCCTCCAACGTAGTGAGGAGATTAGTCACTGCATACTCCAGGAACGAACCTAAAAAAAAAAAAAATTAGAAGAAAAATAATACTACTTCTATTCCTTTATATTAATCATTTAATATTATTTTACACATACTAAAAATGTAATAACATTTTCGATTTTAATATTTTTATTATACTCTTTTGTATTTTTACTTCATAATAAATATATACTAGTTATATGTGTAAATTAATTAAAAATTTAGATAAAAAATAAAGATATAATTGATAACATAACAATTATATCTTGAAATTTGAAAATAATTAATAAATAATTTTTTTTTGATTGATATGTGTAGTATTTTTTTGATTTGGCACTAGATATGACATATTGGATTTGTATGGTTAGCTTTAAGTGGGTTTGGCTGTTGTGTTTTGGCTTCGGCCAATGATTTTTGTTTTGTTTTATTTTTTTGTTCTTTCTTTACTTACTTTCTCTGCTTTTTCTTAGTGAGTTTTGGTTTGGTCTCCTCACTTGTACTTTTACTTTCTTTTATGTTTTAGTCCACTCTGATATGCTGCAGATGAATGGTGTGGGCTAAGGTGCTAACTTAGTTAGGATCTCTTGCCTACATAGTAATGCATTAGCATATCTATCTTTTTCAAAAAAAAAAAAAAAATTTACTAAAAGGAAGGTTGAGACTACTATTTAGAGTAACATTCAAGCTGAATAAGATCTACGTGATGGATGGTGATGGAACGCCGGAAGCCTTTCATTCATGCCCTGTCGCTGTTTAGAGTTTACAATTATCTCTTTGTTATACTTTTTCCTATAGTGTTTAACATATTCTTCCTAATCATTATTAGTTAAAATGATAGCAAATTATGAAATCGCTTACAAGATTCCTTAAATAAGAAATATTATCCCCATAAAATTATATAAGTCATATATATATAAATATATATATATATATATATTATAATAACGCCGGTATAATTTTTACTAACTATTATACTGTTCAATAGTTTTATATTAAATATGAATTTAGTAAATTCAACCGTTAGATTGAAAGCTCTTCATTCTTAGATCATATATACAAAATTTTATATTAATCTAAAATGATTTGATACTTCATTCTTATAAAAAAAATTTGACGTAATATATTCATTTCAAAATATACTAAAATATGAACACTTTGATTATCTTCTAGTTGTTATTTAATTTTAACAAAATTTGATATACACATATAAAATGATATGAACTTTCAATCTAACGGTTGAATTTAAAAAATTCACATTTAATATAAAGTTATTGAGCGGTGTAATAGTTAGTAAAAGTTACACCGATATTATTATAACCTTCCTCATATATATATATATATATATATATATGAGAAATGATCCGTTTATTTCAAGAGTAAGTTTACTTAGACTTACTTTGTTAAATAACTTATGTACTACATCAAATTTCAATGATCCAACTATTGAATTTAAAGTTCTTAATACATGGATCAAATCTGCAAAGTTTTAAAAAAATTGAAAATCATTTAATGTTTCATTTCATTAATTCAAATCAATAAATAAAATGATCTTATATTATCTGTCAAAATTGAATTAATGAAATGAAGTATCAAATGATTTTCAAATTTTTTAAAATTTGCAAATTTGATATATGCATTAAGAATTTTAAATTCAACGGTTGAATTGTTGAAATTTGATGTAGAATATGAGTTATTGAACAAAGTAAATTTATTTAGACTTACTCCTAGAGTAAACGGATTCCCCCCTCTCTCTATTATATATATATACTTAAAAAAACACTTAATTTACTCATTGTTTACATTCTTTTATAGGATAAAATGAAACCTTGTATATAAATATGTTTTTTCATAAATATGATTCACAGGATTCACGTGATATCACAAAATTAAAAATTAATATGAATTTGTATGAGGTATATATGTAATATATTCTTTTATTTGTATCATGAGACATGCAAAGCATTAAGCCTTTTATCTCTTCTTGGTACAAGCACGATTGAAATGTTTATTAAGCAAACATAAAGATATTAACCTAATATTTGGTACAATCAGTAGGAGCAAAGGAAATCTTTCCTCCACTAAGATCGTACTCCACTCGAAAACCAACCAAAGTCTGGCTTCCAAGGAATGCATATTCATCTTCAGCAGTGGGATGTGCCAACAAGCAAAACAAGTTCTCAGTATCGTAATATTGGAATAGGTTTTGTTGATTCAAGCGAACCCTAGCTCCCAAAAAATGAAACACAAAATCAGGGAAACCCTTCTTAACATCATGTCTAAAACAAAATGTATTTTCAGGACTTTCCGGTGCCTCCTTGACACCCATGACTTCCTTCAACAAAGTCACAAACTCGTTGTAGAAACTTTGTTTGAGACTCGTCACTGTGGTCCCGGAATCGATGATGATGTTGCCATATGTTTGGCTTTTAACTGTCTTCACCACCTTTTTTCCAACGCTGATGCCTTCGAGATGGAGAAAGTAAAAGCCGGAATCAGAAGATTTGAGTATGAGGGGAGTGGACACAACCCTTTTTATTACTTTTTCAATTCCCACACCCCCAAATTTCAATTTGCTAGTGGAGTTTGAGTCCAAAGGATTGAAACAGTAGGAAAATTTGTTACCAATTTCATCACCTAGTTGTGAAATTAACGACAATGGTCCTGCTCCAAGACCGACTAGTCCTGTGTTCCTTGGCATGATTTTCTCAGCCACGGTATCGTTATTGTATGTTCCACACCCAAAAGTTAATAACTTACGAAATGTAGCAGCTTTGCCCCCACCACCAAAATTGATCACATCAACACCCAATTTTCCACTAGTGAATGATTGGTCACCGTAACCATATTCATATAAGCACTCACCTGATCTTGCACACCCGTGTTCATTCTTGGTGAGTAGTGTGCAAGGTTGTGAGTCACATGACACGGTCCTAAACGTGGAAGACTTTGTTGGGTCAAATAATGGGGCATGTTGGGGTGTACATTTCTCACAAGGGGAGCATTGCACCCAAATAAGATCACTCCCCGTGTCTGCAATAGCGAACCTTTCCACGGGAGGGGTACCAATGTAAAATCTCAAGAGGTATTCACCAAGGCCTTCATCTGGAATTGTAATGGATTTTGGTAATTTATTTTCCTTCATAAGGTGGCCAACACGATTGGATCGAGAAATGGAGCGTATCGCAGCATTCTTGATGCGCTCTGATGGGGTGAGTGAAGGCTTGTAGAAAGGTGACAATGGTGAGTCACGATGAATAAGATCGATGCTGAAGCCACTTAGAGTTTTAGTGGCTTCAACGAAGGATGCAATAGAAGGTGAACATAGGACAAAAAAATAAAATAGAAAAGCATGCATCATTGAGGAAATAATGGAGGAAAGAAATGAACTCCCAAGGATAGAGTGTACGAGGAGTGAATGGGGTGGACTAGTGGACCGTGGAGCACATTATCATTCAAAATATTTCTATTAATTTATAGAGTTTTCAGTGAAGATCACTTGAGACTTCATTCATTCATAGTGCTGTCTAATTGGTGTAATATACTGTATATTAGTGTAGTCCATTGTCGAGTAAATTCAACGGGACTTAATTATTACATTCACTAATTTTCATCGTGCTTGCCTCACCATCTCGACGTCATTATGCCAGCTAGTTCCAATAATTACTTGGCGTATTGGCAAATGGATTGCATACAAATTCAATAAAGTTGCAATTATCAATTATTCGATAATAAAGTGAACCACTAAAACCGTGGCAAAAAAAATTCGTAATCATGAATTGGGTTGTGGATAAGTATCCGAGACCAAAATTCATTAAAAAACAAACAAAAAACGGGTATAGAGCTCTAGTGTTACGCTAACTTAGGAAACTACTTTTACGTATAAGTATTCTAAAGCTAAAATCCATACAAATTGACATAAAGCTCTAGATGCCCACCAACTTGGGGCTACTGTTACGGTTAAATATCCTAATGTTAAAATTTATAGTCAAAATATCCTTATCTGATTATAGTTTATCTTATTTGTTTTTAACTGACCAATAGGATGTAACCAATACAAGTGTCAAGATCTTTTTCAAGACTTCATCAGAGGTCACTACTATAATATTGATCAACCCATATTTTTCATGCTTGAGTCAACCTCATAACACTTTAAAATAGAATATTTTATCAAATTCCAACGTGGGCCAACTAGCACTTCACGTTTTAAGTGACTCACTAACTCCTATATAAATGGTACCACAATGAGATATTTTCATGCTCCCTGCTTACCTTACTATTACTGTGCTAAAATATATAATGACTTGTGTGAGTAAGAAATTAAAATCGACTCATATACCTAGGACTTTCATGTCTTGGGTGGGTATTTCTATACAATGAACATAACAAACCAACAATATTGTCCATAAGAATAATAAGCAGAAGTTGTCACCTAGTCCTTCAATGGAAATCACTAATTAGTAACAATATGGATATTAATTAATTTCCAATGTGTTTCTAGTACTTACACATTGTTATAATAAAGAGCTAAGTAAATGTGTTTTTTTACTCTACAATCCACACATGAACTTAAATCTACAATTATACTTTCTTATTCTTTGACCTCTGTGGATTGAGGCTAAGGAATCCATACTGATGGTCATTCTCTATAATACGACTTAATTGGCTCACATACCTAAAATAAATAAAATAAAAGTTTAACAGAAATAAAAAAAAAAAAGTCAATTAGTTAAGGAGCTCGAAGTTAAAATGTACTTACATCATTCATAATTATATAACTAAAATGTTAACATGACAATCTTTTGTACTATTATTAGTCTCATTTGAGATTACTGGCAAATGTACCAAGTCTTAAATAATACGATTAAGTGATTATCGTATTCTAAGGGAGTTGCTTCAATGTCTAACATAACTCATATTTATCATTAATTAAGTGAAAATAAAAATTAAGTTGAGAATTGATTGAGAAGTAAAATAACTTCTCTCCAAAAAAAAATATTGTAAAATCTCAAAATATATGTAAAACTATTTTTGATCTTTTATCAAACAAGTTGTATGGAAGGAAAGAATTAACAATAGATGAATATATGTTGGGTTTAAATTGTAACTACAACAATCTCACTATAAGTCAAAACCAATGAACCATGTTTTTGTTTTTATATTTGTCATGGTCCCATTGAATTAATGTAGTAATAATTTCTAACCATAAAAGGCCTAAGATGTTTATATAAGTCTCAACATTTCTTAGTAACTTACATAAAGAACGAGCAATAAATATGAGGAATGTAAGATGATAAAAACACTTAACTATATTGAAGAACTTAAATGTTTACTTTAGTTCAGAGCCAAAACAAAATTTTGAACCTTGTTTTTATGTATAACCAATTCATCGATAATTAGACCAAAACCATAAATACAACCTACAAGTAAACACACAAGAAATACATAAAAGTATTCTTATTTATCAATAGTTCATGATAAAGAAGACAAGTATGTTGTATAGTAATTCAAATATAGAGTTAGTTACTCTCTTGAGATGTTGATAGAAAAATACAGTTACAACATTTCATTTAAATAGTTATATTCATATATCTTTTTAATAATTTGAGTGTTAAAGTCTTTATTCTTACTTTCTTGTATTCTCTACAACTATTTTGTTAATGTATCTTCTTTGTACATGTTTAGTTAGTCCCAATAGTTTGGTATCTAGAGCTTGTGCATGTGAGGGACCTATGAGAGTGAGAGAACACCATAGACAATGGATTAAAGCATTGTTGCAAGTGTGCTTCCATGGCTAATGTGAGTGCCATTCCTTGGAACCTTCCTATACTACAAAAATACTATTCTACATCGGGTTTTCTACATCGGTTGTTCAATAACTGATGTAAAAAAAGGTACAGTGGCAATTTTGTAATTATTTACGAATTGTTAGCCATTTTAAATCAGTTTTAATAAGAAATAATGTAAAAGTACATTATTCTACAACATTTCACTGAAGGACCGTTGTAGTATTGTTTATATCACTCTTGAGAAAACCCATTCTTCTCGTCTCCTTTGCTCATGAAAACCCTCCAAACCCTCATAATCCAAACCTTCACATTTACTGTCTTAATTGTCATCGCACCACCCATCTACCACCCTCAAAACCTCATTCCTCTTCCTTCACCTTGGGCTTTATGATCTTGTGCACCTTCTTTTTCCCTCCTTTTAGATTCCTCACAACACCACCATTGGGTTAGGGTTTTTGAGAGATGTGACATGCTCAATGCTTATCACATGCTATCGGGAGCTGTTTGGCCATGTTAATGATGCAAGTGCTGAAAGAGAATGCTTCACGGCTTGAACGACGACGTCGACAACATAACAAGAACCAGATTTCAATTTAGGTTTTCTATTTCTCAATTTGACATCATAACAGGAACCAGATTTTGTTGTTGATTCTAACATGGCCACCATTGTTAATCCCATGGATCTTCTCCTTTTTTGCCTATCATGTTTTGTATTTTCTTGATCTTTTGTGTTGAATTGTGGATTGGATTCGGTGAGTTTTTATTTTTAAAGTCCAGAACAAATAATCATCCTTATCTGGATTTATTAGAATATCATAAGTTGATTGTGTCCTTAAGGCAATTGGGATTGGATTTTGAACAGTTTTGCACCATATGGCCCAAAGAGTCGGTTCAGACAAATCCCACCCAATTTCACAGAATAATTCAAATATCCCGGAGTGATCTTCTGTAGGGTCGAACATGGATGGAGGAACTATTTTAAATCTTAAGGTCTCATGAAGATAATAGAAATAATGAGCTTTGGCAAACTGGATAATTTCTTCAGGACTTTTTGGTTCAAGACTAGGAGGATATAGCTTTCTGGTTTTTGCTGTATCAGATAATGGTTTCACCATGAAGATTAATGGAAAGCTATGGGAAGATGATATGACAAAAACTGGTTTCTGAGGTCTTGAAAGGAAGTCAGTGATGAGGTTGTTTTTTCCTTTAATGTATTTAACAGTGAAGTCATACATGGAAAACCAATCTTTCAACCGCAAGATCTGAGGTTCAGGTGGTAGTTTATTCTTGAAATCTAGGATTTTCGGAAATGAGGAATTGTCCATTTGGACTTCAAAATGGTGTCCTTTCAAGTGGCAATCAAACTTTTTTATTCCATTTTTTACTGCCAGTACTTCTTTGTTGGTGGTGTGATAGTGCTTCTCTACCTCTTTGAATTGTCCACTAGCATGTCCACAATAGAATTTCTTCCCTTCCATTTCCTCAATGAAAACTGCTCCCAGTAATGATCACTTGCATCGGTCTGGATAATCCTTTTTCCATTCCCTGGGATTTTCAATGCAGGAGGATTCTGTGCAATTTTCTTTATTTCTTGGACTGCCTGAGTTTGTTCTGGTCCCTATGGAGGGGAATCCTTCTTCAGCATCTTGGAGAGAGGACTGGTGTATCTAGCAACTTTGGGAATGAAATCCCGAATGTAATTTATGATTCCTAAAAATTGTTGAATTTTCTTGACAGTTAGACTTGTCTCAGGAAAGTTGAGTAACTCTTTGGAAATATGGGGTTGAGGCTGATAAGTTCCTTGAGAGAACTTCATACCCAAAAAATCAATTTCTTGTTGGGCTAACTGTATCTTCTTCTCTGAGAACATGATTCCATACTGATTTGCTCTTTCCAAGAATTTGTCCAGAAGCTTCTTGTGGCTCTCCATATCTTTGGAGAACAAGAGGATATCATCGATGTAGATGATAGCATTATCTAGAAGAGGTTCAAATATCCTTGTCATTGCTCTCTGGAATAGTGAAGGTACTACCTTCTAGCCAAAAGGTAAGACAATCCACTGGTACTGTGCATTGGGTATGCAAAAGGTTGTCTTGTGTCTTTCGCTGGGTTCAATCCTTAACTGCCAGAATCCGAATTTGAGATCAAATTTGGAGAAGGTGTTAGATTCTTTTAGTAAAATAGGCAAAGAAGAGGTATTTAGAAGAGGAAACTTATCATCTCTCAAGAAATGATTAAGGGTTTGTAGTCAATGACTAATCTTTTTTTTCCTCTAAGTCTTTCTGATCTTTTCTCAACATAGAATGCTTGGCATGTCCAGTTTGATTCAGTATGTTCTATGAGACCTTGTCTGAGCAGTTCCTGACATTCTTGTCTGGCTAGCTTGAGGTCTGATGGAGACATGCCTGGATGAGTTGCTTTTGTAAGATTTATGTCCTCGTTCAGCTTGAATGGTAGTTGTATGAAGAAATCATAATTTTTCCAGAGTGGATTAGGATGGGTGAAATCCTCATGACTATCAGCACATAAAGATTTTAACTTTATCTTGATTTCCCCTAACTCTGGTGGAGCTTATGAGAGAGAATACAACGTGGAGGTTGGCACAAAAGGTTTGAAATCTCTTTTGAATTTGAGTCCAGTTGGATGGATGAATAATTTGTGTGCTAAACAGAAGACGTCCATTCCT